CTCGCCAACATTTTTGGGAGAAATAGCGGCCAAAAAAATTTTTGCTGGAGGGCATCATCGACTTTCGCAGGGAAATTCTAGCAGACACCACCCAATTAAAAGGGGGGTAGTTTTGCCCCTGGTATCACCATTCAACAGTTTCAGCCAAAGTTATTCAACTTAAAGATGCAGTACAGTCAGATCTGTGCATCTGCTCACAGGAGGCCTCTTTTTATTATACAAACAGTTTATTTAGGTTTTTATTTCATTTTATATTCCTGCAAAGATTGATCGTTGTGTCTTGATGTATTATACTCTAGAATCATGAAAATATAAATAGTCGTCCAATAAAATTCAGTATTTTGGATACTGAAATGTAAACAAAGCCTTTGTTTACATACGGACTGTACCGCATCTTCAAACATGTTTAATATACCTCATTTTAAAAACGTTTTAAACAATTTAATAAGATGTATTAGAAATTCACAAACCTTACAGTATCATCGTTTTCTCAGTATTGACAGTTGGACGCTGTGTGAGGCCATGAAGTACATGCACTACATGGTACTTTCGCAAACGTTCTCCTACAACAAAGTAGGATAAACAGTAAATATAATGTGGTATAATATGCAAACACAAATAAAAGATACCGTCAAGTACATTTGATTCGCACACATACCCTATTCTTGCAAGGAGACTGAGGAGTTTTGCGAGTTCTCCACACTTGCAGCTGGCAGAATGCACAACGTTCTTTAATATTTGCCTTACGCGGGCAACCTCGGTTACTGTTCTCGTTTCTTTTGGTGGCACATGAACTTTTATAACTATAATTGTTAACCTGTGTGAAATGAAGCAATTATTTGGTCTTTTCCGCCGCCGAAAATGTGAATATATGCACATTTTTATAGTCGGAATGTTGTGATTCCGACCTTTTCCGACATATTCCGAAAATCGGTTTGTTATGCGCAGAACGGATGCGCAGCGGGTGACACTGCCGCTTTAAAACGGCATTTTCTCAAAGTTAAAAAAGCATTTGACCTTAAAATATATATAGTGCATTTTCTCAAGGTATATCTGGGCAAAATTTGAGAAAAATCGATTTTTCAGTCGTTGCCGCGAAATATCTCATATGTTCGATTTTTACTGATATCACTCTTAACGTCTTTCATGGCAAATCCGGCAGCGAGGAGTGAGAAAAATTCGGTCAAATTTGTTTTCGAGCAAAAATGTGCAAGAAAAACAGTTTTTTCATGGGAATACAACGATGATTAGGATTCAAACCAGGTTTTCCGACTGTTTTACATCTCTCTGCAGCAAAAAGTAAGGAGTTTTGCTTTTGTATTATGAAAAAATGACGAAAGTTTGGACGTGCCGAAGGAAACCTCGCTCTTCAACTCAAAAAAATATACTATAAAACATTTTGACAGTCCCAAAAATTATGCTATACTAAACTCCAGGTATTGCTGTTGATCCTGAGCTTTTAGTCCTTTCTAAAACATAAATAAATTGTCGTTTCTCAGGTGATGTTAGTTTCGTCATCGCTCTTCTTGTTGGCCATATGAGCACTTTGAATAAGGCAATATTTTTGTCAATTTTTAAATGCTTTTTTTTTCGACCTTAAAACGTTCAATCTTCTTGAAACTTCGCATACAGATGTATTTTTCATGGGTTTAAATAATTCGTGAGGTATGACGTCTTACTTTTATCTTAAACTTTCAAAAACTCAGAAAAACCAGCCTAAAACGCGCGGCTTTTCTGACCGTTTATGCTTATGGTCATGTTCTTTCGTATTTTTTTGCTAATTCGTGATTTGTTTGATTTGCGAATATTAAATTTGTGTATCATACTACTGATATAAATTAAATTTGGTGGTATAACTAATATTTTGGGGCAAGATTTTTTCTGATTCAAAAATGTGCAAATTTTGAAAAAAAATTTTCAAAAGGACTGGGGCTACCTGCAGAAAACACTCATGGCCGGCTTCAAAGATGGTGGCGAACTTATCGTTCCAGTTTATTTATAGTTCAATGGAGCATGCAAGGATATCACTAGAAATCGCGGGCATTTGGAATGCAGCGCCATTTTCGCCCCAGTCCCCATGTTCACTCTGATATTCAATTCTTATCAGTAATGCAGATGGTTATCCAAATTTTACATCAAATATCTTTGAAGAATCATATCAAATTAAAATTTTATAGTGTGGAAACAAAATTCCGTAAACTAATCAAGGAAATAAGAAAGAAAACGAAAAGCAATAATAAAATATAATGATTATTTACGATACTTAAATCTACGGGCAAGATTTGTAACTAATTTACCGAAACGACAATAATCCACCTTTCGCAAAGTCATACTACGGCTTAATAATCGATGAACTTAAAACTGCAGTATGGTAAAATTTAATAATATGCAGATATTAGTAGCCGAAATAATTGTTCGCACACCTTAATCTGTGGTGTCAATGATTATTTGTGTCATTCCAAGTTTGCATAAAATCGAAGGTTCGTTTATTAGAGACAATCATCCGGTTCTAGTATTTTTCAATTTGGCGATGATTTTTTAGGCAAAAATGGCTCAAAATATATCACTCGAAAGCCCTTTTCTTTTTTTTTTTATTTGTTTATATTTTGTAATCCTTTTAGTTTGTTTTCATTTTGGAATCCTTATCATTTTATAGTTATATCTAGAATGAGAAACTCCGGGGATCGAAAGGGTTAATAAGGGGCATATACGTAAAGGATGTTTCGGGATTCAAATGTCCTCGATTTCTAGCGATGTCCCTATAACGTTTACGTGTATGCGTGCAATATTTGGACGCAGAGCTCCGATTGGTTGATAACTGATTCACATGAAGTGATTGACAAGCTTCCATAAACTACACTTCCCGTTTGTAAAACCGAGCAACGCAAAGCTTCGGAATTGCGGGAATGTAGAGATAAAACTGTCATGTATTTTGTACTCTTGTTGACTTTTTACTGTAAATTAATATAGTATTCATATAAAGATGAATACTAAAAGCTTGTATACTTTATTGTGTCCTGGGCTTGTCTGACTCTTAGGCTAAGATAATTCTTGAGAAAGACTGACTGAACAAATTCGCAAACCGAAACCTAGGGACAAGGCATTATATCGCTTCTCTTTTATGAAACGATATTGAGAATCATTCTGATAATAAAAAGTGCATATTGTGCGTATAATAAACTTGTTTTACAATGTTACTAACTATTTAATATTTATAAGTATGCGGCGTTAAAATGTACAGTAATTTACTCGTTACTTTGTTTACAATAGTTATCACACGCATGTTTAATTCCATTTATTGTTGCAAAATTATATGAGCTATAAACCACTTATTAAGTTATGTCCAATGTCTTTGGTATATCATGTATGTCTATATGTCTCACCAAAGCCATAAATTTCAGTAAGTTTTATTATTACTTTTTAATATATATATATATATATATATATATATATATATATATATATATATATATATATATATATATATATATATATATATATATATAGTACAATCTGCAGACATGCATGTTTCGGCGTCCTACGCCTCTTCAATGCAGCTTGGTACACATCTAGACACGCAATGACTTTCGTATTGATATACACGACACTTGCTCTCCCAAGCGCATGTGGTACAACACGAGCCATCAAGGCATCCAGACATGCGCAGAGTGACATGGGGCCAGAGTGCTCAAACAACCACGAGGGAAGTGAGCCTTGCATTATATATATTATATATATATATATATATATATATATATATATATATATATATATATATATATATATATATATATATATATATATATATATATATATATAAACATATATATAGTTAGATATTGCTCTATGGCCTTTGTGTCATATTGAGCACTCTACAGGATGAGCCATTGCTGCTTACGCATTGTGCGCATGCTCACTGCTTGCAGTTTGAGCACTCTGGCAATGGTTTGATGTCCCACATTCGTGAGGCATCAAAGGTAACTATTAATACTAGTTACCCTCATCCTGCTCATCAGCACTACACTGTTAGGCCGAAACGGTACCGTCGTAGATATCGCTCTATGGCCTTTAGGTCATATTGAGCGCTCTACAGGATGAGCCATGCCGCTTACGCATTGCGCACGCTCACTGCGTGCAGTTTGAGCGCTCTGGCATGGTTTTGATGTCCCACAATCGTGAGGCATCAAAGGTAACTGTAAATAGCAGTTACTTTCATCCTGCTCATCAGCACTACACTGATGAGGCCCATAAGGCCGAAACGTTACCGTCTGTAGTTATATATATATGTATGTATATATATGTATCTATGTATATATATGTATATATATATATATATATATATATATATATATATATATATATGTATATATATATATATATATATA